CAGCCTCTGGACTCAGGCTTCTCCTTCCTTCCAGCTGGGAAGGACACAGCCCTGTCCCCCACTGGGGAAGGGAGTGGGGAGGCTGGGGGAGGGGGGGAGGCGAGTCAAAGAGCTACATGATGCATTGCAGTTCAAGGCCGTCCACATTCTGGCCCACCGTGGGGTGGCTAGGACCCGTGGTCAGCATAGCAGTCTGCCCTCCGGCCTCTGGTGGGGAAAACCCAGTGGATGAGGGTTACTCAACCAGACCCTCCTTCTGCATCCTGGACACCAGGGAAGGCCGCCCAGAGACGGTGATGAGCTAACCGAGCGTGAGCTGGAAACAAGGGGGAGGGCGGCAGGGAGGAACTAAAAGAAGTTTCAAGTGGGAGCCACACTGGAGGCCCCAGCAGGGACTGAGAGCTGGCCCTGAGGCCCCAGGAAGCTCGGCCTTTGACCCAAAGGCTTTGGGATGAGCCCTGGTTGGTGTAGCGTGAAATCCTTTTTTGGCAGGACTCTGCTGCAGGTGTGGAAGAGGACTTGGCAGGCAGGCAGGAGCGCTTATGAGGCCGTGGCTATGCTCGGAGGACCCAGCAGGGAAGCCCAGCCTGGGATGCTGGGCACATGGAGAGGCATTTAGGAGGCAGAATGGAAAGTGAGGGATGGAGCCCATGGAGTCTGGGTTCAGGTGCCCATCTGGGGCAGGGCGGCCTCAGCTCTGGTCAGTCTTGGGGGGCGGGTGCTTGGGACCACTGGGACAAGGAGGCAGTGTGCCAGCCGGTGCCAGGCTTGTCCCGAGGCCCTGCTGTGTCCTGCTGATGGTAACATAGTGCCTGGACTTCCTATGGTGACCACTACGTCAGCCCCAGTTCTGAGCTTTCCCAGAATAATGGGCCCGAGACCCAGGGCCAGGCTGCCCCTCCACCTCCAGGGCCCTGCTTCCAGAGCTGCCCCTGGCTGGCTGGGTGCCCGCACAGCCTCCCCTCTGCTCTCTAAAGAAGCCCGGGGCAGTGACTTATTAGGAGAGAAAGGAGACCTCTGTCCCAGCAAGTGATTCAAGCCCCTGGGGGCTCCAGGGGGGCAAGGCTAGACCCTCAGAAGTCTTCAGACTCCCCCTCTCGGCCAAGGCTTCGGTACCACTGCATGTCCACCTTCCAAGCCCGTGTCTCCAGGCGAACTGTGAGCTACAGGGGTACTGTATACAGCTGCCCGCTTGGCACCTCCCCCACTGTTCACAGCATGAAGTGCCTCAAACTCAGCCCCTCCCAGCAACCTCTCCTCCCTCTCCCCCTCTGCAGGGAATGGCCCCTCTGAACACCAACAGCCCCGGCCAGGGACCCGGGGGAGTCTTCTCCCTTCTCCCCGGACTCTGCCAGGGCTGCTTTTCTCTTTCTCACTTGAACGCTGTGAGGGAAGGAGCCCAGGCCAGGGACAGGGTGGGAGTGTGCCTTGAGGGTTGGAGGACCAAGCAGACCTGGGGGGGCTGCAGGAGGCTGAGGGGAGAGAGGGAGGAGGGGAGAGAGGTAGGGGTGCAGGTACGAAGTAAAACTGCTCTTACTCTGGAGAAAATGAGGGGCCTCTGGAGTATTCTGATCAGAGCAGTGACTAGGACTGGCTGGGGTCATTAGCAGGCATGTGTTTTTGTTTTTTTTTAAATATATATTTTCATTGATTTCAGAGAGGAGGGGAGAGGGGAGAGACAGAAATGTGAACGATGAGAGAACCATTGATCTGCTGCCGCCTGCACGCCCCCCACTGGGGATGGCACAGTGTGAATGGAGTGTCGGTCGGTGGGGTGGGTTTCAGAGTGAGTGGAGGAGAGGCGCTGGAGACAGCGAGGTGCCGCAGAGAAAGGAGGGGAAGCTGAGGTCGCTGATGGGGAAGTGGAGTCAAGATGGTTTTTGTTTGTTTTTAACCAGAGACAGAGACAGAAGGAGTAGGAAGTAGAGGGAAATCAGAAAGAGATAAAATCCAGTTTCTCACAGACCCGAGCCAGGAGCTCCCGTGCTGTTCACAGCCGTGCTGGGACCCTGCTTCCCGCTTGCCGGCTGCGACCTGGGTCCCAGCGCTCTCTGAGCCTCAAGTTCCGCAGGTGTGAAATGGGGGACCACCTCCCCCCTATCAGGGCCCTGGGGACAAGCAGGGGATAATGCACAGAAAGTGCAGGCGGGTGCCGCACAGGGAGCGACCTTCTCTTCTGTGCCCCTCATCTCTCACCTCACAGCCCCACCCCAGGCTTCACACCGTTAACATAGCGACTCCATAGATGGGAGCAGGGCCCCTCCTGCTGGCTGACGCTGGAACTGCACCTCGTCCCTGTTCAGAGGTGGAACTTCCAAATCCAGTTCAATTCCCCCCGCAGTCCGGCAATGATTTCATTCCGCAGCAAACAGATGTCATCCAAAATCAGTAGTGAGCGCTCCAGAACCTTCCCACCACCCATCATACACTGAGCGAGATGTTAACCCACCCGCCCCGCTTGGTCCTGCAGCTGCCCCTGCTCGGAATGCGCTCCCTCCACCACTTGGAAACACAGTCACCCCTCTGAGGCTTTCTGTGACCCTCTCCCCGTAACCACCCTTACCCCCTGCAGACTGAACTGCTGGAACGTTCTCTTCCGTAGTCTCTTCACATCTGTACTTACCTCTAGATTTGCTAGAACACCTGTCTCACCTGAGGTCAGGTATTGCCTTATTTATCAGCTGCCAGAGGGATTTTATAACAACTGAATCTGACCACTGACAGCCCCTACCGGGAATCTCCCCCACTGTGGGTGAGGGGTGATGGTGTGTGTGTGTGTGTGTGTGTGTGTGTATGATGTATGTGTATCTGGATTATCCAATATTTTTACATTTTTATTTATTTTTTAGTAAAGAAAGAAATCTGCCTGGCAGGCATGGCTTAGTGGTTGAGCAATGGCCTATAAACCAGGAGGTCACAGTTGGATTCTCAGTCAGGGCACATGCCCAGGTTGTGGGCTTGATCGCAAGTGTGGGGCGTGCAGGAGGCAGTGATCTCTCTCATCGTTGATGTTCCTATCTCTCCCTTCCTCTCTGAAACCAATAACAAAATATTTTTAAAAAAGCAAAAGGAAATCCTTCAGGGCCTCCTGGTACTTTCAAATTCCCTGGCAAAGCTTCCAGGATGGGACCTGGCCTCTGCCTGTCTGACTTCTCCCTCCTCCTTGCCCACCCTCCACTAAAGCTCCCAGCTCAACAGCACTGTAAGTGGCAGGTGCCTCTCAAACAGGCCTCCCATGTTTAGCCCTGCTTAGTTGACAGAAGAGTTCCCACTGACATGGTTGCTCACATGCAAAATGAAGGATCCAGACAGACAGGATTTCACAAATCCTTCTGACTCTAGATTTCTCATTTACGGATAATGGTTAGCATGTCACCCAACAGCGGATCCTGAGCAGGGATCTCCTGGAGAAGGGGCTCCAGGGGATTCGCCCCTCTACCACCCTGGGCAGGGGAACGCAGCTGTCCTCTCCCTCCTTTACACATGGCCCATTACACATAGGACCTTGGGGAACCCATGGTCACTTCTCATCCAGGGTGGACTGTGTCCTAGGATGGGGCGGGGCTATGTCTTCAACAGCAAGACACTCACCCGAGTGATAATCATTTGTCAATCCTTGTGGTGAACAGGAGGGGCTTATCTATTCATGGTCAGTGTCTAGAGCTGCATTAAGCATGTGAGGCAGCTGAGCCCCCTCCTGCAGTGCTCATCTTTGAGGGACACTAAAACATGATTGGAAGAAATCAGAAAAATAGTGCCAGGCAAGCCAGGTTTCTACACCTATAAGCCTCCTTACATCACGTAACTACCAAATTCAAGCACTCCTGCTGCCACAAATGTAAACTGGGCCCTTGAAGGACAAGATAAATAGCTTTGCAGGCTGGGATAGTCTATTGAGCCTTGAGACACAAATGCGAGTTTCACTCTGCAACTCAAATGCCAGAACCAAATAGTACAGGGCATGATCTCTCACCAGTGACTTATTTACTATGTGAACTAAAGCTAAATCCTTTAATATACCATGTAGGAACTTATCATTTGGAAAAAAATCAACTTCAAAACAAATGCCTAACTACCAATGAACAGAGCCCCAGCCCGCTGAGCAGCGTTCCACCTGTGGGCCACACACATCCTTCACCAGCTCATCCTGGAGGCTGTGTAAACCTGTGCTCGGACACAGACTAGTTTCAATCCTGACTTCACTACAGTGGGATCATGAGTTTATTTTGTCTCAGCCAGTTTCCTCATCTGTAAAATGGGGACAAAAGCAGTGTTCCTCGTAGGGCTACGTGAATTAACCGACAGGCCGTGAATGGCTGGCGGGGTAGGTAGGGGCTCCATGTGTGTCTAACGGTCGTCTTTGCTACGATGAGGGGAAAGTGCTCTCCTAAGATGAGGACACTCGTTTTGACAGATGCTGATGAGGTCCGCTTCCTGTACACTTGTGACTTTATGGACCTCTCTGCTCTTGTCAGGCTGCTCCTGCTGCAAGTCCACACTCTCGCCCCAAAGGGATCTGGAACTTAGCTGGCATCCGCATCACAAAGCCACCTATAATTCTCACCACACACCAAGTGCACTCCCTGAAATGAGGCTCCCGTACGCAAGACACATCCATTCAATCCCAACTCTGGCTGAAATCCCTTCTAAACCTCCTCAACTTCGGCGCCTGAGCTGCAGCTGTAGCCAGAGGGCGGATGACCAAGTTTAAACCAGGCCCACTCCAGGCCAAGTGCCCCAAAGGCCAATCTCCTGTCACATCTGTGGTTCTGCCTCCTGATGAAGGGTGGCTGGCATCTCTCAACCCACTTGGCTCCATGAGGCTTCACTCTGGGGACCAGAATCTCTAATTAGTTTCTGCATTCATTAGGGGGTATTCTCATTTGTGGTAATAAAATGGGGACAGGCACCACCTCCCAAGCCCGACAGCATACCCTTGGCAACATTTCCTAATGTCAGTGGGAGTCGGTGATGGTGACCGAATCACAACTGCACCGGAATGCCAAAAGTTACGTTTAATTTACAATGTAATAAAGGTTACAGGTAAAAAGCTACACATAAAGCGTGAAAAGGCCTATTACACAAATGTACAAATCTCTATACAAAGCTCTTATCGATGTTTCCTACCTTCGTCTCCTATGTTCATTAGCCAGGTCTCATCTTAGAGCTTTGGATAACAAGAGCTCTCAAACGGGGGAAGCGTCTCCAAACCGACATCTAAAATGTCTTCTTAGAGACATCAGTTACTTGCAAAGTGAAATCTTTTCCTTTTTAATTGGAATTGTTCTAACTGGTCAAATGCTTTAAAAATTGCCTTCATAACACACTTGAAAAGGAAAGCCTTGGAGAGTACAGTACTCTGGAATCAAATGAGAAACTTCAGGAGTAGAGTACTCAGGTTTGACAAGAAAAACAGGTAAAGTTCAAACAAAGTAATAAGTTTAAAACTATCAACCTGTGTCTATGGCATTCACTGGTCACAGACCACAATCAAAATATTCTCATCCCAACGGAAAGGACAAAAGAGAAAAGCCTAACTACTGGACCTCAAAACCACTGACCCAGAAAAACATTTTTCAAACTTTAGCTTAACTAAGGAATTTTAACCCTCTTTTTTATCAACCTCAGATCCATGGCAACCCTTTTGCTATGTGGAACTTATAGGGATAGTAGATATAAATTAGGCTGCTGGACCCATAAGGCTGGTGATGCCACCATCACCTCCCCAGATCTGAATTCGACTCTTTGGGCCTGGAGTCTCTCCACAGGGTACATGACTTAAAATAAAAATAACCCTGGAAAGAGGGAAAAAAGAAAAAGGAGGTCATGGAAGGCCTGGGAGGCTCCAGGGCACCAATTTAAAATGACGTATGAAACGTTCTTCTACACTGAAGTGTTCTGAAGAGCAGCCTTTACGGGACATTTCAACCCCACCCCCAGTTTTGGTATTAGATGTTTAGGACCCCAGGAGACATTCTGAAAGACGATACTGCACACATGGAAAATTTTCCTCCCAAGTTCATCAGCTCCCCCATCACCCTTCCACCCAATTCCCACCCAATCCCACCCCTTTTCCACGACCAAAAATATCAAATCAGTAAGGAAGGCGTCGGCTTCTTGCCCGGCCAAGCTTCTTTTGCATATTTCTTCTTCTTGGGTTCGTTAACAGCTTCGGGGATGTAGACTGCAGGGTTTGGTGTAGGATTCATGTTCACTGCTGATGGCACAACAGGAGTCAAGTCCACATCGGGGGCGAGGTTCGGGTATGGCATGGGCAAACCACCGATGAGTGCTGTCCCATGGATGCCATGCGGCTGGGAGCCGGCCTCACTGTGTGTGGGGGGCAGGCCCCCGTAGAGTCCTCCACTGAATGCAAAGTTCTGCATGCGCCTGCTCCCCGATTCTTCCAAGCCCAGGGAGCCAGGGCCTTCCATCCGCTTCTTCTGTGGTTTACAAGGAACAGAGCAGACAAGAGGTGAGGCACATGGGTGGTGCTAATTAGCCTTTTCTATTCCAGCCCTAAAACACGGGGGAAAGCCCCTAAACCTCTAGCTTGTTTTGTTTCCCAAACAACCTATTTCCCAGTCTTGAAATCTCAGTGATTAAAGAGATTTTACAGTGGTCCTCTAACGTGATGGGTCCACATAAAGTATTTACCACCCCAAGTCACACTGAGAAAAATGAGGATAGTGTGTGAGCATTTTATAAAGTAAACCTTATCCAGTTTAAGTGACTATCCTTAGCTTGTCATACCTCTCCCTCTCTTTTGTTGGTGTTAAAATGCCCTTTTAGGAAATAGGTGATAATGGGTGGTAGTAGGTATTTAAATTTGGAGGGGGGGGATCAGAAGTTAGTATTTATCTTCATGTTGGGCACCAAATGCCTCAACATTAATCTCAGAGCAAAACAAATCTGTAGTGAATGAAAGAAGTTTACTGGTTGCCTGGGGCTGGGAGTGGGCGGGTACTGACAGCAGAGGGACATAAAGAAATTTTCTGGGTGATGGAAATCTTCTATATGTTGATTATAATGGTGATGACTCAGGGGTACACATTTGTCAAAACTCAAACTGTACACTTACCATGTGTGCATTTTACTGTATGTAAATTATACCATAATAAATCTGATATAAAAGTAAAAATATCTTCTGGTTTTGTACTTTAATGACAACAGAACATTCCAAAAAGAGAAAAGAGCTCCAGGGGAAATGTGACACGAGCTCGATGGAGCTGCACAGGAAAACTTCACCTGGTACGTTTTCACAAGAGACTAAAGAAAGTTCATGAAAGATCCCCTCACTTGTCTACTCCTTTTGAGTTAAAGACTAACCAGGAATTTGACACATCAACCTAGTCTAATATATTCTGAAGACGTTTAAAAAATAAAACTCTATCATTGCAAGTACATAAAAATATAATGGATTTTTATGCATTGAAAACAAACAAAAACTCTATAGTATCTCTGACCAGCATCTTCCAATTTCTTTTTTTTTTTTTTAATATATTTTTATTGAGTTCAGAGAGGAAGGGAGAGGAAGACAGAGAGAGAGAAACATCAATGCTGAGAGAGAATCATTGACCAGCTGCCTCCTGCACCCCCCCTTACTGGGGATCGAGCCTGAAATCTGGGCATGTGCCCTTGACTGGAATTGAACCTGGGACCCTTCAGTCTGTAGGTCGATGCTCTATCCACTGAGCCAAACCAGCTAGGGCCCAATTACTTTTTTAATACCTCTATTTACAGAGATCCCAATATTTAAAGGACTATTTATTCCTAGCTGTCAGGTAGTTCCTCCACATGTTTAGCAATCAGAACATCTTTGTAACTTCTATCTCTTGGTTCTTCAACATACCTGGTCTTTATAAACCTAATCCAGGTTTGGGCTGGCTTTTCTATCTGTGCCACTCCCAGGCACAAAAAATAAAGTCACAGCAAAAGGCAGCAGTGCCATGCAGAAATACAACAATGCCTCTTTCTTGCCTAATAGCTAACTCTGAGTGAAAAGGGAAAGGCTAAAGAAACGTGGGCCTCTCTGCAGCCTGCTGGAGGTAAATTTACATTGCACCATAATTTACATACAGCATCAAGCTGGCTGGTCACCTGCAGCCTTACTATGGGCTCCAGAATCCTCTAGACATAGATGGAGTAAAAGTATGACCACAGGGCAAAAAAATGGGAGAGAAGCAAAGAATATGTTTTACAATTAAGTACACCTAACCTATTTATAAAAGAGTGGATTTTTAAACCAGACTGCATGAAATGGCATTTCAAATATTGTTACAATGTGCTTCCTACCTTCACTGGGACCACTGCAGTCTGTACCATGTTCCGGAAGCGTCCAACTGAGGGATCCACATCCTCTGCAAAAAGACATGAGGGAAGGATTAGTTTGGTATTCTCCTGTGAGGGTTAAGGGAAGAGGGCTCACTACAAACAAAGCAATCACAACTCACATTAAAACAATAAAATACAGCTAACACGTCAACTGTTTCTATGTGCTGGGCACTGAGTTAAATCCTCACAACAAGCCTATGAGGTGAGAGCATGACTATAGTCAACATTTTTAAAAAATATTTTAATATTTTTATTTTGATTTCAGAGAGGAAGGGAGAGGGGGAGAGAGATAGAAACATCAATGATGATAGAGAATCATTGATTGGCTGCCTCCTACACCCCCTGCTGGGGATCTGAGACTGCAACCCAGGCATGTGCCCTTGACTGGAATCAAACCCAGGACCCTTCAGTCCCCAGGCCAACGCTCTATCCACTGAGTCAAACCAGCTAGGGCTACAATAAACATGTAATAGACAAGAAAACACCTCAGGCTACAAGGAGTAAAGTGATGGGCCTAGTCACCCTACGGAAGAGTGGAGGAGCCAGGATTTAGTCCAAGTAGCCAGAAGTAGGACTGGACCACTGTGCTGTGCTGCCTTCCCCGAGTTCTTTCGCATTCCATATACTTCCCTCTTTTGAGGGAGAAACAAAAGAGTACGTATTAGCAATCCCATGATAGTGACAAAACAATGACATGACAAGAGGTCACACACCACCTATCTTGGTAATGCCCACTCATTAGCAAATAACAGAATTAGGATTCAGATCCAGGGCTTCCAACTCTACTTGGCCTTTTGACCTGAACAACTGTATACAGTCAAGACTTTTACTGCCATGGCCGGTGTGTTCAGCAGAGTATCAGCCTGCCTACTGAAGGGTCATGGGTTCGATTCCCCATCAAGGGCGCAGATTTGGGTTGCAGGTTCCATCCCAGGCCTGGTCATGGTGCATGTGGGAGGCAATCAATCACTGTGTCTGTCTCACATCGATGTTTCTCTCTCTCCTTCTCTCCTTTCTTTCTTCCCTCCCTCCCTTCCACTCTCTCTAGAAATCAATGGGAAAAATATCCCCGGTAAGGATTAACAAAAAGCCTATCTAATAAAAGACAAAAGGGTAATTAACCGTACCTCCGCTGCGCTTCCCATTGGCTAATCAGGGCGATATGCAAATTAACTGCCAAGAAAAATGGCGGTTAACCGCCAACAAAGATGGCGGTTTATTTGCATACGTAGGCACCAAGCCACGGACTGAGGCATTAGGCCTGGGCAGGGGCGGAGCCAGCCAGCGATCCTTGATGGCGGCGGCGGGGAGCTGGGGGAGCTGGGCAGGGGCGGAGCAGATCGCGGAGGTCTGGGCAGGGGTGGTGCCAGCGATCACGGGTAGCAGGGGCAGAGCCGGCCATGGTGGGAGCTGGGGGTCCCCTGCCCAGGGCTAATGCCTCTTCCAGAGGCGTTAGGCCTGGGCAGGGGCAAGCTGGCAATTGGTGTGAACAACAGAGGAAACACCTTTTCTTTTTTTTTTATTTTTTTTTTGAACACCTTTTCTGACTGCTGATTGGCTTAGCTCCCTGTATGCCACTGGTAATATTCTTAGTAACTTGGGTAATAAGAGTCCAAATAGGTGATCTAGGGTTTTTTACCACACTCCTGGAGAAAAAAAGGAAGGTCCGCTGCTGGTGGGTTAAGAAATGTCATATCCTGTCCTAGCTGGTTTTGCTAGTGGATAATGCCTTGGCCTGCCGACTGCAGGGTCCAGGTTCGATTATGATCAAGGACATGAACCTAGGTTGCAGGCTCCTCCCGGCCTGGGCCCAGGTCAGGGCTCATGCAGGAAGCAACCAATCAAAGTGTTCCTCTCACTTTGATGTTTCTGTCTTTCCCTTTCTCTTCCACATTCTCTAAAAATCAATGGAAACATATCCTCAGGTGAGGAGAAAGAAAGAAAGAAAGAAAGACAGAAAAAGAAAGAAAGAAAGAAAAGAAAGAAAAGAAAGAAAAGAAAGAAAAGAAAGAAAAGAAAGAAAAGAAAGAAAGAAAGAAAGAAAGAAAGAAAGAAAGAAAGGTCATATCCTATGAAAGACACATCTTGAAAATGCTTAAAGAAAGTTGTCATTTTTTCATGGGGAAGGGACTGGAGTCCGTGTTGATGAAAACACCTTGGTGGCTGCGGTGACTGGCAGTGTCTGCAGCAGTGGGGTGATGGAGCTGGTGCCTTCCCCTGATCAGCCCGGTCACCTTCCACAAAGGGAGGCCAGACTGTAGCTTAGACCCGCTCCCCAAGGGGAGCAGGGAGCCGGGAGTAGGACATCCCCTGAGGGCTCCCAGTAAGTGATAGGGGGCAAGCTGGGCTGAGGGGACCCCCCCCACTCCAGTGCACAAATTTTTGTGTACCAGGCCTCTAGTAAATAAATAAAATTATATATATATGAAAAAAAAAAGACTTTTACTAAAGGATCTGAAGCCCTCGTCCAGGCAGAGTGGGAGAGCAGCACCCTTTTCACAGCTTACACACATTATTATACCCTACAAACTTCTAGCTTCATTCACTCTGCAGGGAAGAAGAGATAAGACCAAGTAAGGGACATGTTTGCAGTCAGTCCACTCTCTTGTGCCTCATTTATTAGACATCAGACATGGAAATAAGAGCAAGATACTGCCCTGCCTTTAAAGAGTTCACAGCCGTAAAGCCAGATAGGCTACAACACACTGGAGGTGCTTCAAGACAGGTAGCAGAACTGTTCTGTAGCACAGAGAGGATGGCTGCGCTGGGCCACCGAGGATGAGCAGTTTTCTCGCTGAAGGCTGAGTGTATGGAAACAGGCAGGCTGACCTGTTAGCATTACTAGAGAAAACTACTCCAAGTTCCCTTCATCTTAATGTAGTGACGGAAAGGAATTATTTCCCTAACTGATGTTGTACATCTTATTTTAAATGCATTGAGGGAGCTTGCTGTTTTAAAGATGAGCACTCGTATGAATTCCTTTGGAAAATAAAGATTCCCTATTTAATCTGAATAATTACACCTGGTTGATTTAAGTCTGACTTTTCCCTTTAGGATGCCTTTAAAGAATATGCCCTGGTATATTCATTGATTAACCAATCTTTGTTCAATGAATGAACGAACAAATGGCTTCTACATGGAAGAAGAAAGAGGAAAGATAACCAGACTCAGGAAGGAGACAAGGTCTCTAAAAAAGGCGACCTTATCTTTCCTCACCCCCACAGGAGCCCTGTTCCAATCATCCCTTCAGCAAGGAAAGCTGAACGAGGTGCACAAGCAACTGGAGCCTGACAGGAGTGGCTACTGGGGGATGCTCCCCATTTGTGCACTAGGCCTGTCGCGGGGAGGGACTAAGCCTCTCTGGGGGACCCTGTCCTGTGTTGGCTGATGGTCAGGCCCTCTCCTCCTTTCCTCACTCTAGTCGTAGAGAATACGCATGTTCTAGGAGAGCCCTGCTCCTGGAAGATCCACCAACAGATTCCTTATGAAGTCTACTTCTGGTTTAGGAAAGGTGCATAGGTAGAAGGCAAAAGTTGTGGCAGATAATGATGGGGATAATGGCTAACATTTATCAAGAGCTTACAAACCCCGAGTACTGATATGAAGTGCTTTTACAAATGTTAATCATTTATTCTCCTCACCAATCCTGTGAGGCCAGTAGTCTTTTAAGTCACTTGGCCAAGGTCATACAACTACTAAGAGGAGAGGTGGATTTCAAACCCAGGCCCTCTGACCACTATGCTATACTCTGCCTGAATACAGCACCTTAATAAAGCTCTGGGGCAATAATTTTCCAGGAGAGAAACAAAGCAGATCAGACACTGAGTCCTGAGAGGGACTTAGTGTCTAGTCCAGTAATTCCCAAGTTATTGGCTGTTCATCAGTACAGTAAAAGCTTGTTTGAAGCTACAAATTTTTAGGCTCAACCTCTAGAAACTTACTCAAGAGGTTCCAGGGCCCAGAAATAGTTTCCTAAATTGGTTATCCAGCCCCTGCCTAAAAATTCCCCTCGGGCATTCACTACTTCTAGGAGTAATCCTTTCCACTTCACACACCATCAGAAAGTAAACTTGTCACTAGAATGAATGCCTCAATCTCTTTCAGAGGAATCCTTTTAATTCTTCTAAATATAAGGATTCATTGTTGCTTTTTATGCTGAGTCAAACACTTGCTACTCACTAGCTCTGGTTTTGCCCACTGTTTCCTTCTTAAGGTTAGTCCTGCAAATACCTGACCACAGTGGCCATGCCCCCTCCAATCTGCTCTCCTTCCTGCACGGTTCCCTACATTCCCAGCATGCAGGGCACTGTTTTCTGTATATATGAATCTCCTCCTCCCTCAGGACTACATCACATTTGATGGTTAGGGCCATGCTTGTATTTAGTAACATATATGGATGAGTTATGCTCAGAACACAGACCAGTGGGGTTACTGTCCCCAATTCTCCTATTAATGCAATCTTACACTGCACTTGATTAGTTTTCTCATACCCCTAATGACTAAAACTACATTTTCTTTCTTTTTTTTTTTTTTATCCTCACCCAAGGATATTTTTCCATTGGTTTTTAGAGAGAGTAGAAGAGAGGGGGAAAGACAGAGAGAAATATTGATGTGAGAGAAACACATCGATTGGTTGTCTCCTGCATGAGCCCTGACCAGGGCCGGGGCCGGGGAGGACCTGCAACAGAGGTATGTACCCTTGACCTTAATCAAACCTGGGACCCTTGGGTCCACATAAAACTGCATTTTCAATGAACTAAAATCCTTTGATCTTTTTTTTTTCATGCTGGAGCAGACCATCTCCATTTAAATAATTGATATTTTGAACCTAAATGCAGGACTTGAAAGTGATTCTCACTGCATTTTACTTTGGAAATTAAAGGCAACTGGCTAGTCTGGGGTCCTTGTTTCTTCTATTTTTTGAGATTTATTTTCAAACAAGGTTTTTTAAAATCCCAATTCCAGCCGAAACCGGTTTGGCTCAGTGGATAGAGCGTCGGCTTGCGGACTGGAGGGTCCCGGGTTCGATTCCGGTCGAGGGCATGTGCCTTGGTTGCGGGCACATCCACAGTAGGGGGTGTGCAGGAGGCAGCTGGTCGATGTTTCTAACTCTCTGTCTCTCTCCCTTCCTCTCTGTAAAAAGTCAATAAAATATATTTATTAAAAAAAAAAAATCCCAATTCCATCTTCACTGTATAACTATACCTCCCAGCTCTATGTCATCCATCCACCAGAGTACTTAAGATACAACATAGGCCCAATAAATAAATGTTGAATGATGGAACAAATTGGTAAAGTTAGTGGCTTTCCCATAATACAATGCTCTTATCTTACGGACATTTCCATTCAAACTATAAATTACTTCCTTCCAGAGAGGCAAGTCTTCAATGCAGTTAACAGTAGCAGCAGAAGGTTCTCCAATCTTATAGTTACCACTCATACTAGTACACAGAACCCCACAAAGACAATAACATTCTGCTTTGAGGTCAAGACAGAAAACACTTATGCTTAACTTAAACCTCCACTAAGACATAGACACTCTGGGTCAGCAGAGAATTACCGCCTGGCTCTGTATACGGAACTAAATGGACTCTCCTGTTAGCTAGTTCTTCCACAGTGCCAATGGATAATGCCTGAGTTGTTGAGAGCACTCCACCAATGAACTGTAAAAACTCTCTCCTTAAAATAGCACCTGTTATCCTAAACCTTGGAAACATTACAACTGACCTATAGGTTGTGTACACTACTCTGAGACCACAGCTTTTTCATCAGAAGAAACTAGAAAGACACCTCACCTGGGTTGATGATCTCATCATCCTCACTGAAAGTCACCCGTGAATTCTTCCTCTTCCTCTTTGGTCTCTGAATATCCAGATTCCCCTCCTCAATGGTGAGGGTGGAAATCCGCTTGTTGTGGGCAGTGTTGAACTCTGTCAGGTTCTAAGCCAGGGTTCACACAGGAAAAAACAAGTCAGTACACAGAAAAGTGAAGCAGACTATCTTACTAAATGACGGGCAGAAAGGCATCGGGGCTAACCTTGACTTCCCCAGGCAGACAAGATTCTCCTCTGTATTCAGGAAGAACTCATTACTATCCCCAGATTGCTAATATTTATAAGTCACCTTTGACAGAATGTGCCCCTCTTTGACTAGTGGGGCAGTGATATTCAAAAGGTGAGGGCCTTGAGCTGAGAACAGGTCATCTGTACAAACATCTTTGAGGTTTTGTTGTTTTTTATTGATTTCAAAGAGGAAGGGAAAGGGAGAGAGAGATAGAACATGAAGAGAGAGAATCACTGATTGGCTGCCTCCTGCATGCTCCACACTGGGGATCAAGCCCACAACCTGGGCATGTGCCCTGACAAGAAATGGAACTGTGACCTCCTGGATCATAGGTTGATGCTCAACCACTGAGCCACACTGGCCAGATGAGATTTGCTTGTTTTTTAGAAAGGTTATCATGTCTTTATGCTGAGAATTAAAAGAATGTAACTGGAAGGAACTCCAAGAATTGTTTTAAAGTAACAAAACAGAGATGAGCAGTAACTCTCTTTGAGAACTCATAAGGACACTGTCAGTGCACTTACACTTGGCATTAATATTTTGTCACTCCCCATTCCTGTGTATGGCCCCATTTCTATTCATAACCATCCATCCATCTCAATGATTAACTTGGCCTCAGCACTGCTGCCTGCCTCTTCCCAGTCCTCTGGACTTATTCCAAACTGCATTGCGGTTTGAGATATTCAAAATGTCTTGAGAATAAAGACCCACAGAGGACCTCACATACTAATTTAAAATACAGGAAAGCATGGAAGAAGACTGGAGGAGAAATGGGTAAGAATGACCACCATCAAGGCCTCTGGCTAGGAGGCTACTTCTTTAGAACAAAATAACTTCTAAATTTTAGATTTCCATGGTGCTTTTCTTCCTAAGGGCTGGGATACTGCTTTAGTGTACTAGAATAGTAAGTGCATGTGGGTGGTTAAGGACTTGCTTACAGATGGTCTACCTGAATAGACCAGTCACACCAGTGTAGTGATTGACATGTAAAGGATGACGGCCACTTCACATATTGGGGTCAGCCTCTAGAAAAGGAAAACTTTAGCACTTAAATAAAATATTGTAAAATTCATAGCCTTCAGGGCAGCCAGGCCCATAAGAACAAAAGCAGTCTAGTTCTATTCAGAAGATTCCTGGGCTATTTGGACAATATCAAGAAAGCAATGTAAATGAATGAAAGCTTCAGTCTAAGTCAGTGCTGTCCAATCAAACTTTCTGAATGATGAAAATGTTCTCTATTTGTGCCATTCAACATGGAAGTCACTAGCCACATGTGACCACTGAGTATTTGAAATGTGGTTAATAGCCACCGCATTTGATAGTGCAGCTCTAGAAAAATTTAACTCCCAGCCTTGGCTTCTAACATCCAGTGAAGGTGCACAGACAACCACGAGGGTCTATTGGCAAGAGACCAGCTTCCTTGTTACCCCTGGTCACACATAACCAAATCACACAATGCAGCTCTCCAAAGTGTGTCACAGTTGACCACCTTATAACTGACAAAGTGGCAAAGGCCCATCACTGGGCTCAAGAAAACCTCCTGCTGCTAAGTCTTTGGCATTTCAAGATACACAGACAGCTACATAATGGAAAAACTAGAGTCCCAAAAGACAAAATAATGACAGACGTGGAATTACATCAAGTTCGGTTTCCTCCTCTGGAAGCCCCAGTAAGCCCTTGAGTTCATCATCCTCTCCACCCATCTTCTCATCTCCTTTCACAGCCGATGGCAATGTCTGAGGCTTCTCACGTAGAGTGTATGCCCTTGTGGATGCGCCAAATGAGACTGTGGAATCGATGGGAATTTGCTGAGGCTTGTGAGGTTCCAACCGAATGTGACCCAAGAAAGTGCCGTGTGCTGGGAATAACCAAATCAAAAATGTAAGAGAAAAAACCAACCTGAGTTGTAGGAGAGCAGCTCCTCCCAGCATTATCAGTTCTGCTTTTTAAAATAAAAATGACACCGAGTCCACTTTGCATCCCTTGTCATGAGTCACAATGAAAAGGAAAACTCCTTCACTGGGTCTTGCATCTCTTCAGTGGAATTCTTACACATCTTCAGACCTGCTGTTAACCCAGATAACAAATACCACTGCTTGCTCTCTGCTGCCAGACAGGCTTGGCTCCATTCTGGGTCCAGCAGGAATGGCTCCAACCCAGCAATAACCATGCCACCCAAGGCAGGAGACAGGCATCGCTGTGGTCTGACCTCTCCAGCCCCAAGTCTAAGGAATACAGGCCCTGGTGGCAGTTATGCTGGGTTTTCCCCAGAACAGGAAAGGTTGGCTGAAACAGGTGCAATATCAATACCAAGGCAAGCCAAAATCCTACTGCTGAGTCTGAATATTTTTCTGCATGTTATAAAATGGACAGAAAAGATGAGATAAATTTGCAAGTAAGTACTTGTGAGACAAGGCTCTCCAAAACCATTCTATCAGCAGACTGGGGTGGGGTCTGTGTTATAAAAGTGGGGAAGGAGAACATGGTCAGCCCAGGAAGCAGGATCCTTTATATTTTACATTGTATTTATATATGGGAAAAGTGAAAAACTTCAAGGCTCCATGTAGTTAAGTCTCAACTGCATTTCTGGGATTATCTTTGGCAAAGTTGAAAATCTTATTAGTTGGAGTATATTCATGAAATTAAAATTTATATTATTACTTAGTCAAAGCAGAATGTAGCTGGGATAAAGAACCTTGAATAAAAAATTAAATATTGTTCAAAACAAGTATTGTTGTTAATGCCTTGTACAACTACTCTATTATATTAATGGAGCTACCATAGCTTCTGCCTAAATTAGACCACAATTTATCATGGTCCTGTAAACACTTAGCTACCCATAGTCCCTAGCTCCTGAGTGTTTTTGTTGATGGTGTTCTCTATATCTACCTAGTGCCTCCTCCAGGACAGTCCTCCCCAAAACCTTCTTCTCTCTCCAGTCATCAATTATTCAGGAAAATAGGCGATATCACAGGAGTCAAGAAGAGTTGATTTAAAAATCAAATGTAAACTTCTTCCTTGGTGAATAATAAAACACAATTTTGAAACTGAAGAACTTAAAGAGAACTTTCACATTGCCCAAAAGAAATGTGTGAGACAGAATGGGATGTGAGTTACTTACTACTATTGAGATCTATCAGAAAAACCCTCTTCAGATGCTTGTGGTAGACCAAGGCAGCGTGGACCCGAGAGCAAGACTGGTGGTCAATGGTAAAGTCACACAGATCAGGATTTCTCCCAAATAAGTAATATTTCTTCTCATCAATAATCAGTTTCTAAATAAACATTAAATTAAATGTTACTTAAATAGTCTCAACAGGGTTAAGCAAAAATTCTTCTTATCAAATAAGTAGAGGATCTTGAATAGACAAATTCCTTGCCACAGTGAAAAAAATTTATTTCCTATTATTCTTAAGATAAAGAGCTCAGAAAAACTTACTAACATGTTGAGGGATAAATGACATTTAATATCCCCAAATGTTGCGGTCAAATGTTTAGTGTTGATATGAAAAGAAGTTTTCCTACTAATTCTATTACGTAAAAGTGACCTGCAAAAGGGGTTGTCTCTGTCCATTGGAAATTTAAGATTTCAACGGATAGTAACTTTAGGTCAAGCAAGAAATAAGAACACAAAGCATGTTTATAAAGTAATGACTGCTTTTCAGAAACATAACCAAAGGAAGATTATCAACTGGTTAGGAAAGAAAGGGGTTATAAATACCTATTTATATTTGAATCATGCTATCATAGCCCCAAAGCACTTTTGGAATACTCTGAGCTGAATTGAGCTTTATGAAGAACTCACAACACTGTCCTTATTTTTTTTTAATCTTGGGTTAGTAAACCCTGACACAGCCTGGTTGTAAACTGAGCTGTCAAAGATAAAGACTCTTGATACACTTCTTCCAGTTTTAAAAGTCTACAATTTGACCATTTTAAAGAATAACCCTTTCAAGGTTTCACTAAGCTCTAGTTCACATTTCACATGGCACTCCTTCTAAAATCCCTGAGAGAAGACAGCACGAAACTGAGTAGAGAAGCACAGTCAGGTTAGTATGGTTCCAGGCTAGGAATCAAGAGGTTTATATTTCATTCCTGGCTATGTCACTGAACTCACAGTGGGCTACTATTCTCCCTTATGCTTTAGTGTTCCCCTTACAAGACCAGAAATATACCTCATGCACTGATAACAGTAACAACCGTTGGGTATTTATGTGCCACACACTGTGGTATGTGTTCTCTGCTGTTATTTCACCCTCAAAACCACTCTATGTGGTGGGTACATACTATTATTCCTATTTTTATAAATGACAAAACTGAGGCATAAAAAAATTAACACATTCAAGTTCACACAGCCAGATATTTAAAAGCTGAATTAGAAATTCAGAGAGACAGAGAATCTGTCTGACTTCAGAGTCTAAGCTCTTTTAACCATATTACATATTTTCTCCACTCTACCTGCATCAGAAAATGTACTACATGGCAAGGAACATTTTAATGAATAAACAACGATGGGCCACACTCTTCATTTTTCTTTAAACAATCACTTACCCAGTTTCTTTAAAGCTTAGCCTTAAGGTTCAAAATTAGTTCAAGCGAGTATAGGTACGTGGGTCACTGCTGGGAAACCCTGTCCAGTGACCATCTGCTACTGGCAAGGCTCGTTCCAGACCCAGACTATACTGCTAGGCAGCATCAACATCGAGCAGCCTGACAGCTCAATAAGACGATCATCCCCAGGTCTGCCTAGGCCAGCGGTTCTCAACCTTCCTAATGCCACGACCCTTTAATACAGTTCCCTATGTTGTGGTGACCCCCAATTTCATTGTTACAAATTGAACATAATTAAAGCATAGTGATTAATCACAAAAACAATATGTAATTATATATGTGTTTTCCAATGGTCTTAGGCAGGGGTCCTCGAACTTTTTAAACAGGGGGCCAGTTCACTGTCCCTCAGACCGTTGGAGGGCCGGACTACAGTTTAAAAAAAAACTATGAACAAATTCCTATGCACACTGCACATATCTTATTTTGAAGTAAAAAACCAAAACGGGAACAAATACAATATTTGTATTTGCATGTGGCCCGCGGGCCGTAGTTTGAGGACCCCTGGGCTTAGGCGACCCCTGTGAAAGGGTCGTTCGATCCCCAAAGGGGTCGCGACCCACAGGTTGAGAACCGCTGGCCTAGACTCAAGTTTTAAAACTTGGATTAAATATAAGACATTGTTTTAAAATTGAGAGTTCTGAAATTTCAACATCTTATTCTTTCTAGGTAATATCTGCGCAGGTTGAATCTCACTGCATTTCTCATTCATATTTATATGCACCCAGATTATGTCCTCACAAACTTAAATTTGCTAAACACAGGGCTCATTGGATAGTCTCAAGGAAACAGTATATAAGACCACCAGATCTTGGGTTCTACTATACCAATGACCAAATTTCTATGTTTCTAAGGTGCCAAAGACATACCAGAGATCTAGGTATTTAGAGGGCGAGGGGGAGTGAAAGGTCCTCCAAATTAAATATATACATTCATTATTAAAGGCATCTCAATGACAGAAACATAACAATGTAGCGGGAAAATAGTATGTCTTAGAATTAAGGAAATTTGTTAACTCCTGGACAATGTACTTTCTCTGTCCAAGTAAATAAGATAATGTATTGGTGTTTCAATAGTCACCAAAGCCACAATTTCTTGACTAGCTATACCATTATCCAGTTGTGCCACTGAGTTATAACTCAGAGTGTGTCTTTACACACTGGGCTAACAGACTCACGGCTTTTGTTTTAATATTGCACTTCTTAAACCCAGCTATCACAACACATCACAAGCCTCTGACACAAGGCTAGGATGTAGATAGCTCGGTTAGTATCAAGTGCTGTCTAAATCTTTAAAAATAAGCACATAAATCTATTCCTCTCAGAAACAGCACAGTGATGTCTAAAGACTGCAACTTGACAATTGTATGGCAACTCAGCACACCTAAGAGCAATGAAGGACAGAGAACATTATCAGTTAATAGAATCAGTAATCAGAGGAATGTCTGACAACTAACAGCACTTTAAAAATATAAATTATTTCACAAAGGAATATGATATAATCATGAAAGCTAGGCCTCCTTTGTTTCTTCCTGTTGCAAACGGAAGATTTACTAAATTCTGGTAACAAAACAGATTCTTATGTCTTCAGAGCTTCATGCTATTTAGCAACAATATTTTATATCTGTGGAACAGTCTATAAAATAGGTTTTACAGACAATTTAGCAAAATTAGTTCACTGAATAATCTTGAAGTTTTGTAACTTAAAATAAAAGAACTCTACACTGATGATGTATTATGGAATTGTACACCTGAAACCTATATAATTTTATTAATCAATGTCACCCCAATAAAATCAATTAAAAACAAGTAAATAAAATCTCTCTATATAAAAGCCTAATATGCAAAGTATTCCCTTGGGAGTTTTTACTATTCACACCAAACAAAAACAACTGCACTCAAAAGTGGGACCTTAAATCTAAATTCTATATGAGCGAGCAAACATAAAATTGGTCTAAGAGCTGGAGATTCACAGCTCCATAGTCACAGTGAGCTTAATCTCCATTTCTTGGTAAATAAATGGTGCCATAAGAATTAAAAATAAAATAAAATCTCACACAACTTAGTATCTAATCAACATTTATGTTATCTTCAAGTTCTATGTGGTGTTCATTCTAGAGACTTGTAGAAAATCTGGAATTCTGCTAAACTTTTCCTTTATAGAACTTATTTCAGGTAATTTTTTTTTTTTAAATATATTTTATTGATTTTTTACAGAGAGGAAGGGAGAGAGATAGAGAGTTAGAAACATCGATGAGAGAGAAACATCGACCAGCTGCCTCCTGCACATCTCCACTGGAGATGTGCCCGCAACCAAGGTACATGCCCTTGACCGGAATCGAACCTGGGACCTCTCAGTCCGCAGGCCGACGCTCTATCCACTGAGCCAAACCGGTTTCGGCACAGGTAATTTTTTATGTAGTGTCTTTCCCACCAGATTTCTTTGAGGATCAGAACCACGCTTGTTTTGTCCTCTGCTATAGTCCCTATAGCGAGCACAATGACTAGAATAAAGTAAGTACTCAATGTTTTGAGTAAATGAATGAATTTCTTCACCATTCCATTCTCTTTGAAGGGCTCAGGCCTGAATATCATAAAAGCAACTTAAAAGCTAAAGTCAATCTATGTCATTCACTTTCTTCTTCAATTACTAGAGGCTCAGTGCACGAAATTCATGCATGTGGGGGTGGGGGTGAGGAAGGCCCTCAGCCTGACCTGCACCCTCTCGAAATCCGGGACCCCTCGGGGGATGTCCGACTGCTGGTTTAAGCCCGATCCTGCAGGGAACCCTGTGGGACTGGGCCTAAACTGGCAGTCGGACATCCCTCTCGCAATCTGGGATCGCTGGCTCCTAACCACTCTGCCTGCCTGCCTGATTGCCCCAAACTACTCGCCTGCCTGCCTGATCACCTCTAACCACTCACCTGCCTGCCTGATCACCCCTAACCACTCGCCTGCTTGCCTGATCACCCCTAACCACTCGCTTGCCTGCCTGATCGCCACTAACTGCTCGCCTGCCTGACTGATCGTCTCTAACCACTGTCTGCCTGCCTGATCACCTCTAACCACTCGCCTGCCTACCTGATCACCCCTAACCGCTTGCTTGCCTGCCTGATTGCTCCAAACTACTCGCCTGCCTGCCTGATCACCCCTAACCACTCGCCTGCTTGCCTGATCACCCCTAACCACTCGCTTGCCTGACTGATCGTCCCTAACCACTCTGCCTGCCTGCCTGATCGCCCCTAACCACTTGCCTACCTGCCTGATCGCCCCTAACCACTTGCCTATCCGCCTGATCACCCCTAACTGTCCCTGCCTCAGCTCCCGCCAGGGCGGCTTCGTCCAGAAGGTTGTTTGGCTGTCCGGTCTAATTTGCATATTGTGCTTTTATCATTATAGATTGCATATCTTGTGCCTTCCACACAACTCCATGTACTCAAAGAGAGGGAATTTACCATATTAAAGGGCTTCCAGTTTGATTAGGGCTCATAGGCCTATCATCTATTAAAATCCTTTATTTAAAAGGTGAGAGAAGTAAAAAAAAACACTGAGTGTCTGTGGGAGATAAGAGGTTTGAATGTGTTATATCACCATGTGCTTTTAATAGAAAAAAAATCAGGATGAACGAAAGTAGCATCGGAAAACAAAGCACAGCAGAAGGGGTGGAA